ATAAATGAACGAATGAATGGACTAATGCGTGAATGCATGAATGATTGCCAAAATCCAATTTTTTTTTTTCCTTCTCTCTCTCTCCAGCCTGCCTGCCCGGTTCGTATGGAAAGAACTGCACCACCCAGTGTGACTGTCCCACGGGGTCTCCCTGCGACCACATCACCGGCCAGTGTGGCTGTCTTCCCGGGTTCACGGGCCACGGGTGCGAAAGGCGTAAGTCCAGAGGCTACCCCCCCCCCCCAAAAAAAATAATACAATTCTGGCAATGCCTCAATGGCTTGGAAGAGAAAGCGAGTCTGGGAGTTGATCCAAGAGGATTCATTTAATAATAATAATACTTTAAAAAAAAACCTCAGCTTTTCAGATTGGCAGCAGTCTCTTGACTTCTGCCTGGCAGCTGAATGGAGGAGAAAAAGAAACAAAAAATAAATAAAATAAAATAAACAACCAGGAAAATATTGACAGTGATTGACAGTTCAAATCCATCACTGTTTTTTTTCTCTCTTCCTTTCCCCTCCATTCTGTTAAAACCGCTTTGATTTACTCTTTCTTCTTCCTCCTCCCTTACAAGAGGTATCCTGAGACGTGCACAGCATCTGTGCATGCTAACATTTAACCCCCCCGCCAAAAAAACCCCACAGAAAATTAGGTGAAGCGACACGTGCGAAAAGTTACTCAGAAGTTACACGCCTTCTTGCACAGGCGCGTTACTCAGAAGTTGGGGGAAAAAAACACATTGTTGGACGAAGAGATGCCAAAGCACCAAGATGTTTCAAGCACCTTTGCTGGGGGGAGTTTTTTTAGCAGGAAGGGGACCTCAGAGGTCATCCAGTCCAACCCCGCTGCTCGGCGCGGGTTCCGCTTGGTGGAAAGACCAAACTGAACTAGAATTGGAAAAAAAAAAATAGAATTCAGTTAGGGCAGGAATGTCCAGTCTTATTAGCAAGACTCCTGGCCTTCAAACTCCCAGAAGTCCCCAGCCAGACTTATGGGACTTGTAGTCCAGAGGTCTTAAAAAGTAGCCAAGATTGGACTTTGGGGAAAATTGGACCTTCGGAAAAAGGGTTCAAACAGGATTCTCTTCCCTCCCACAGCCTGCCCTCCTGGCACCTTCGGAGTGGGGTGTGCGCACATTTGTCAGTGCGCTGGCACGAACCACGACTGCCACCCGGTGAGTGGGAGGTGCGTCTGCGCCCCGGGATACCATGGCAGCGGCTGCCAGCAGGGTGAGTTTACACGCGTGTGTGGAAACGGTGTGTGTGTGTGTGTGTGTGTGTGTGTGTGTGTGTGTGGAATTTGGGGTGCAATAACGGGAGGGAATTGGAGGGGTGGAAATCAAAGGGGGAATCTTTCTTGCAAAGGACTTAGTAATCCTCGACTTAACGGCCATAACCGAACCCGAAATTTACGTCGCTAAGTGTGAAATTTGTGGGAATTTGGCCTCCGCTTTACAACTCTTCTTGCCACCGCCGTTCAGTGAATCAGCTGCAGTTAAATTAGCCACACGGTCGTTAAGTGGATCCCCTTTGACTTTGGTTGCAAAAAGGGATCACCGGAGGCTTCCAAGAAGAGACCGGACCCCCATTTGTCACAAATGGTGCAGGGTCTCCCACTTGGGCAGGGGGGGTTGGACTAGATGACCTCCGAGGTCCCTTCCAGCTCTGTTAATCTGTTCAACGTGACCCCGGAACATTGCAACCGTCATAAATACAAGTCGGGGTTCCCAAGCGTCTGAATTTTAATCCCATGACCACGGGGATACGACGACAGTCGTAAGTGTGAAAAAGGGTCCCAAGTGGCTTTTTTTCAGCCCTGTCATTTCAGTCACTAAATGAATCATTGCAAATTGAGGATTGTCTATACTCCTAACTCCCAAGGTTGGGAAAATCCATTGAATTTTGCCATTTTTCCTGCCAAATTTCAATTGCATTTCGTTGAATTTGGGTGGGTTGCTTGTTTGGGGAAAAAGGTCCTTTTTTAAAAAAGTACATTTTGCATTTAAAAATAGGTGTATTAATTGCCGGTTTCAGCTTAAATTAATAACCTAAATTAATCCCTGATTTAAAACCCTTTGAGGCTGACACCATTTTCTTTATTTCGATGTGGCAACAGTCCTGACTTCGATTACCCTCCAATAACTGGGGATTTTGGGGGGGTGGGGGTGGGGTGGAAAGGTGTGGAATCGTAATGTTTCTGGGGGTCACCTCCGAGGTCATCCAGCCCAGCCCCTGCACAATCCAGAATCTGAAAGAGCACCTCTGTTTTGAAGGGCGGAAGGAAAAGGGAAACGATGTGGCGGGTTGTTCTGCTGGCTAAGGGTTTGTTTCCGCCACACACACGGCTTGTGTCCTCCTTTTCAGAGTGCCCGTCGGGACGCTACGGGCCAAATTGCGAGAGGTCGTGTCAGTGTAAGAACGGCGGCCGTTGCGTGGCCACAACGGGGGCGTGCCAGTGTCCGGCTGGATATATCGGCGCCGATTGTAACGTAGGTAAGACGGCTCTTGACTTCTATTCTAGCGAACGGCCAACGTACAACCGTATATAAAGCATCGCATCGGGGGTGGTCGCGGATCGCTTAAGGACCGTCACGATTGACGACCCTAATTCCGGTCTGGTCATAAATTGAGGCCTAGCTGCAATTGCAACACTTCGCTGCTTTGGCTTCGGTATTTTTATTTTACGATGTGGTGGCTCTGCTTGGATTTATGCATCGTTTTCTTCTCCTTGCTGTATCTGTAATATTTTAATTTTATTTTTAATTTTATTGTTCAATCTGCTTGCTTTTCGTCTTAGGGCTTTTTGTTTTATCGATTATTGGATTGTTTCCCTTTGATTCTGGACTTTTTCTCCCTTTTGGGGGTGTGGGGGGGGGGCTTGCTTTGGCTAGCTTTTACTTAGCATTTGACAGGGCCACCTCGAGGTCATTGTGACTTTCCCCACACCCTTTCTCCTCAGCTTGTCCGAGGGGTCGTTACGGGACCGACTGCGCCCTTCCCTGTCCGTGTGGCGAAAACGTCCCTTGTCACCCAGAGTCCGGATCCTGCCTCTGTCCGCCGGGCAAGTCCGGTCCCAGATGCGAAGAGGGTAAGTCTCTCTTCAGGGATTCCCTCACAAAAAAACAAAACAAAAACAAACTCCGCTCGGTTTTCGTTTTACTTGGGAGCGCGGGGATCGATTTGCATCCCATAATATGTCTGTCAGGATTCGGGCAGTTCCGCCCCCATTTAAATCATGGGTCTCAAGCTCAGCCTGTCCCGGTTTGCTTCTCCAACAGGCTGCCCCGCCAATCGATACGGGTTGAACTGCAGCCAGATGTGCGCTTGTCAAAACCAGGCCGTCTGCCTGCCCGAAGATGGAACCTGCCTCTGCGGGCTCGGCTGGACCGGGATCTGGTGTGATAAAGGTGATTCCGCCCCCTCCCACCTCCAAGATGAATGGGACAAATTATACCTGTACGGATTCTTGTCTCCTGGAGTTCCGCCGGACAATCCACTTCCTCTTTGGCAAGATTGCTTCTTATTTAATCCCTGAACCTTTCATTACCAGACTACATAATATCATCTGTGAGGGTTGGGGTTTTTTTTGGGGGGGGGGGTGTCCTATTCCACTGATGACGTTACCTTGTCTGGTGATGAAAGGTTTGGGGAACTAAATGCAAACGAGCTTGGAAGTAGATTGTTCAGTGGAACTCCAGGAGACAAGAATCCATAAAGATTGAAAGGAAAAAATTGGCAACTTATTTAAGAATTTCAACTTTTGGAATTCCGCCAGAATTTCAAAGCGCGGGGGAGAGAATCTGTGAAATAAACTTTCTAATATGTAATATAAAAGGGAATTCTCCCCCCCCCCCCGCCACCACCAGGGTGCCCCCCGGGGAAGTACGGGGCCAACTGTCAGCTGAACTGCACTTGCCAAAGCGATGGGATTTGTGATCCGGTCACCGGGATCTGTCGGTGCAGGAAAGGCCGCTACGGGAACCAGTGTGAACACGGTAAGCCTGCAACGCTTTTGTCCGCAGATTTTTTATTTTTACAAATTTAATATCATTTCCCCACACACACACATTTCGATTCCCATCCTTTTCAGCCTGCCCGGCTGGATTCCACGGGGCGGCCTGTCAAGAGCGATGCGGCTGCCGAAACGGAGCCTCGTGCGATCCGGGATCCGGGGAATGTCTTTGTCCTCTGGGGTTTCACGGCCGCTACTGCGAAAAAGGTTCGTAGAATTCCAGCACCTTCGACGATCCCCGAAGTTAGCTAGGATGTGATGCTTAAATCCTGGTTAAACGCTCCCTTTTCATTCCTGGAGGTTGTAAAAAAATGACTGGACAGCCCCCCCTGTCTGAAATGGTATACATTCTCTTGCTTGATCTGAGGGTTGGGCTAGAAGACCTCATTGGTCCCTTCCCGCTCTGATAGTCTGTATTTTCTTTCTGCTTTTTTCCTCTCTCTTTTTTCTCAATATGGCTTTTGGGCGCTTTATTTCCAATTAAACGCTGGCTTTTTGTACGGAAAGCGGGATGCACTCATTTTAAACTGGACCAGCAAGAATTAAAACGGCTCAGAAAAACAACGTCACCTTTTCGGTTGCAGGCTGCGACGCAGGGAGATACGGAGAAAAATGCCAACGGGTATGTGATTGCGACAGCCAAGCCCCGTGCGAGCCCTCCACCGGCCGTTGTCTCTGCCCTCCGGGGAAAACGGGAGCAAAGTGTGACCTTGGTGAGTGTGCAAATAGATCGGTGGAGAACAACTGCAATTGAATGAAATAAAAATGCAATTAAACATTGGAATAGCTTAATTAAACATTGGAATAATATGTGGGTGCTTCGTTACTACTTTAACAAAAGTCTGGGCAGCCACTTGCCTGAAATGGAATGCTTGAGCAGGGGGCTGGACTAGAAGACCTCCATGGTCCCTTCTGGATTCTATTCTAGTCTAATTATTTCTATTCTATTTTCTATTCTATTTCTATTGCTATTCTATTCTATATTCTGTATTCTATTCTTCTATTATCTCCCTATTCCATTCTTGTTGGTGTTCTGTGTTGTGTTTTGTATTCTATTCTATTCTATTCTGTTCTATTCTATTCTATTCTATTCTTCTGTTCTGTTCTCTTTGGCTTAGCAAGAGGCTTGGGGAAAAAATGCAGATCTCCAAAGTAAATTTTTCTGCAGATTTGCCAAGAAACTCAGAGCAGATCCACTCATCGCAAAATGTGTGGGATAAATGGGAAGATCTGCAACTTATTGTATTATTGTAAAGCTCTTGGGATTCTGTTGAGGTTTAACACACATTTTAAAAAAAACCCTGTGATTATCTATCGGAAAAATGTCTAAAAACAGAAGGGGCCGGGATGGACTAAATGCCCTCTAAGGGACCCTTTAGAAGTCCAGCCAGCTGGATTAGGGAATCGCGGGTGATCTGTACTGCCACTTCTAAGATCAGAAATTGGGAAGATGAGCCACGCCAGGTTTGCCCACGAATTTAACCCTTCTCTTTCGATGCCTCCTGCTAAATCCAGGTTGCCAGCTTGGAAAATTTGGTCCAGATTGTTCTCAGACTTGTAATTGTTCCTTGGATAACGCTGTTTGTGACGCCCAGAATGGACATTGCGTGTGTCTTCATGGATACGTAGGAATGACGTGTCGAGAAGGTAGGTCGGACTGACAAGCAGGCAGGTTGCAAGAACCGGAAAGACAAATTTAAAATCTGTTTCCCTCAGAAGCTAACTTTCTCAGTGCAGGGAGCCCATCATCTATCTATCTATCTATCTATCTATCTATCTATCTATC